AGAAATTTTCTTATTAAATCGATCGCTTGAAAATAAACAATGTAGATTTCTTTTCTGCATCCCCTAGTTTCGGAGATATTGTAAAAAATATATTTTCAACCCTCAACTTTAACCCTTCGCGGACGAAGATTCTTTGAAATGTACAAAACCTTCAACAGATGAAGCTAAATTATATATTAATTGGTTCAATAATAGCAAAAACAGAAACTACATGCTAATCTCTTGCTGTCCGAGTAAATAAATCATTTGCCTGCGACTTAGTCTTCCGAATATGAACGTTTCATCTCACCAAAACGCCAAATGAAACATAGTAGCTGAATATATGACCCAATATTATTGAGAAACATCTTCGTGTAATTGCATCAATCAAAATCGACGTAAACATTTACCAAGGAATGTTTATAAAATTCGACATTTGTCAAATTAACACGTTCCGTGAAACTAGTATTGAATAATATAGCGTGGCTCTAACAATATACAGTAGCGTTCAAAAGTTTCCGGCCACATCGTTTTTGGAATTGATTCCACGCCACATCGCTGTCATTAATGCAAAGGGTATGGCCACAAGATACTAAGTGTAATATGTTAAATACTATACATTAAATTATTATCATAGCAGAAAACAAGCATTATTTTCTTTATTAACACGTTAACGTAAATGTCGTCTATAGCCGTCCAATACTCGTAAATATAGGTGTGAATGTAGGTGCAAATGACGGTAACGGCCGTCTTATGTTCTTAGTATTATAAATAAAAAAACAATAATAATATTCTGAAATAATATTCTATTCTGAGTTAGATCCTTGATCGAACTCCCCAAGAATCATAACTATCAAAAAAGAAGAATTGCTTTTCTTGTCCATTACCGATTTCAAAGTGAACATCAAAGTGTCAAACATTCTGGCCGAACACTCTCGAACAGCTGAATTATTTCTAAGAAAATATGTATAAAGAATGGTGTTGATTTTTTCAGAGTACCCTCTCGCGCGATATACCCTTTACATGTCATAATATCAAAAAGTTCTTAAACTGTTTATTGTGTAAGAAAAGTACCAGAAACAATCTGACTGGTAACTTTTGAACGCCACTGTACGAAAAACTGGCATGCAGCTTTCATTGACCTCATGCCTGCCCACCCCTGGTCTATTCAATAGCGAAGAAATCTTGCAATCGCGGCCTAAAACGATGTACTCCGCGCGATGCACGAAAGGTATCGGGAGAATCCTGGTTCCGTTAAGCGGCGCGAACCGTATTATTACGCCGGCTGCTTACTCACGCCGTCCCTCCCGTGGAGCGCGGGCTCTACGAGGAAAGAACGTGGACGCACGACGATTTCCAGGAAATTCACTTTCACCGGACCTTGTCCACTTGAGCGTTTCTCGAGTGAGTCGCGCCATTAGTTTCTTTATCGAACGGGCCCGGGCTTCTCTGTTTACTTCGATTTCTTTCCTCCTCTTGTTCTTCTTAATTTTGTTTCGTTTTTGATTTTATATTTGAGTGCGTTTTAAGGTGGCCACATTAACGGTAAAGTCATTAGCGGCCACCAACGTTTGGATACATTATTTATTACTTAAGACGTTGCGCACTGGTAATGAGAAATCCCGTTTTTATATAAAGGCAACTGGCTATGTAACTTCGCTAATTACCACAGCATTGAAAAAACTGTTACATTTCATCGGAACTGATTATCCACTTAAAGTATACTGCGTAACAACATATTTCGGTTTTTTTTATATACATTGATATACGTTGATTTCATTGAAAATCGCCGTTCGCGCAATTGAGTTTTCTGAAAATTCTCCAGTGAATACAAAAACGAATTGGACTATAAAACTATTTTAAATGTATATTTAACACGTTGACTGCCAAGATTGTCACCGATGACCGGAGCTTCCAAATTACTTGAAAACAATTATAATTTGTCAGGGAACTGACGTCGAATGAAAATTTTCAATAGCGTAAATAACTAGATAACAGCCTAACTTAATAATTGCGATACCAAAAAAAAGTAATCGTTCCTGTTTATCTTTGCTACAAAAGAATAAGCGATACATGAAACTCTGAAGTTTTCCGTGGCAGTCAACGTGCTAATGAACGTTCCACAATTTATCTATGTATATAAAATACACGAAGTTGAAACGTGCAGCTGAAAAAGAAATTTGAAAAAATCGATAAAAAAATAGTGGGAATATTTTGCATGCTAATGTATCCATCGGTCTGAAGATATCGCGGTCGTCGCATGCTCGTCACGGTACATTTGAGGCGTAAGATTTAATGCTCAACAAACACATTTTATTAGCTGCGTTACAAGCGGAACCCTTTTACTTCTGTCATCACTCGTTCGATTCGTTCCGCGTTAGGAATGCGTTTTCCAAGCTTCCTTGGTTGACCAGTTTCCTTTGGGAAAGTCCACGATTCCAACTGGGCAATTTGTGGGAGAGTGGTCCGGTTCTGTCACCAATTGGGACATTTTTTCTTTTTGTTTTTTTACAATAACTGCGAGCGTGCTAGGTCGCGAGAGATTTTCTAGTAGGACTTTTGCGCGTGTTTCAATGCTGTCGTTGATATAAGTTTCAGAAATGTAGAAAAGTATTCGAACATTGAATTTCTTAGAAGTAGACTGCGGATCTCTATGCGGCAATTCAGAGAAACTGGAATCAAAGAGAAATTTCTTTACTCTAATAAGGCTTCTGTACTCTATCGCGTCCCAGATAAAATAAAAAGACTCCTAAAACTGATCAAGCTTTTGATCATTCTATTTTGGAAAATTCTGTGTGCTACAATATTTGTAGTGTGAGTCGATAAAATTTACAATCAATTTATAATACACAATTTGATTATATGAAAAATTGATTATGTAACAAATTTTATTATATGAAAGGAATGTAATTAATTGTAATTATCATGTTGAAATTGTTAAATTAAACTGATTTCTCTTATTAAGGATACAAAAATGTTTAATGAAAAAATGACTTTCATATTGCAAAGACCTTAATCTTCTATCTGCTATTTAAAAAATTTCTCTAACTTTCCCAGATGTCTCTCCAATGAAGCATTTAATAAAAATTTTACTTAATAGATGTACCCAGTCATCCCAGAACTGTCCGAAAATTAAAAATAGAAATGAGGTTACTGTAGTCAATTTACTACTGCCATTAATGTACAGCAAAATTCAGTTACGTTGCAACGATCTTGCTACCTGGTAGTACATAGTCGCAGTTGCACTATCTACGAACATGCAGTTTCATTAGCGATAACGCTAAAAAACAAAATCAGTTATAAATTCCTGCTAGAATGCGAGATAACGTTCCTAGAAAAACGTCGGCAACGGCGACATTGCAGATAACGAGCCAGAATATGGTGCACGGCTATCATGATCCATTTACAACTTGCCTTCTGCAATTATACACTTCGTCGATCGTAAACAAATCTAAATTCACTGTCTCGTGGCACGATGTTCCTGTTCCAATCGTTTTCAATGGAACCGTCTAATTGGAACAGTTACCCGCAAAAAGCGGAATCACTTATACCGTTTTAATTATCATTTCCGTTCGGTGGGCGCGTAACATTTGAAAGGTACGACGTACCTTCGTCCCTCGTTGTCGTCGGTAATTAAATTGTGTCACAGTTCACCTTTCAACTTGAACTAAATGCCGTTTCGAATCGGAGGTCAAACCCGAGTCGAAGTAATTAACCAAAGAAATTCGTGATTGTCGTCGTGAACGTATATCGCTATGTGTTCGTTAACGGCAATCATCCTGCCATAGATCACTTGCACCAGTAATTTATTAAAACACCACGAAATTGCAGGGACTAATTGCTTCGTTAAAACCCGACGCGAATGATTGTCGCAGTGGCTTCGACAACGTTGCGTAATATCTGTGAATTCCATCGAAAGAGTAGCCTAGGAATATTGGAAGAGTCAAATTCGGGAATTCTTTGTGAATTTGAAGTATAATTTTGTTTACCAGATGGTTTATATAGATATTCAGTTAATCGGAGAATTTTATTACAGATTCTAAGTAGTTCAAATCTATATGAACTTATTGAATGGTTAAAATTTAAGTCGTAGAGTGAAAGTGCTATGTTTATAAAATAATAATATATTTATTATTTCATCAATGTTATCAAATTTGTTATTGCTGTAGACACAGCAACATTATTATATTATAAAAATTAGGATTAAATCAACAAGTATACATGGGAATACTTGAATACGAAAGAGCATACAAGCAAATCGTAGAAATTCTAAATTAAAGTATATACTGATTTCCCCTTAACTTTCAATTAATTCGTCATGCAACTAATAAACGACCAAGTATTCGTGAAATGTTGAGAACACTCACTTCTCGAGTTAAATATTTGAAAATTTGAAACGAAAATGACAAATTATGAATGATATTATTTACAATATTAAAGATTATAAATTATAATTACAATAAACAAAACATTTTTCAAGTTTCAATATTCCAAAACCTTCAAACAAACATTTCAAAAATATCCGAAACTTCGTTTGAAATGAAAGCGATAAATTCTAAACAATATTACTTACAACATTAAAGATTATAAGTAATTACAATAAACAAAATATTTTTCAAATAAAGTTTCAAAATTCCAAAAACTTTAAATGAATATTTCAAATATCCGAAAGTTCTCCACCAACGTGTACATCAACTTTCATAACCAACTGTACACCAAACTCGTACACCTTTCGATTTCTTTCTGCCCTGCTTACACGAGGCTCGAGTATCGAATATCGGCGGATCGTCGGTTCCTCCGGTGCGCATCTCCTCGTGAAATCGAACCTTTCAAGTGACTTTAGATCCGTGCGTGGCACGGCGTTGCACAGATGTGGACGTGGCCTAACGGTACTCCTCGAAAGTGCGACTCGTGCGCTAACCGATTTTAATGAGTGGACCCGAGCAACCGCGCGACGGAAGCCATAGGCGTGCTGCATTGTGTCACTGTATCATCGGGGGGAGGAATCGAATTGTACTCACCTGAGGTGCACGCTGACAGAATTCTTCCTCCGTGAGTGACGTCAACGTTGCACCGTCGACGTTGAAGCTCTCCAATGGCACCGAGGGCAACTGCAATTGCCTCCTGGCCCATTGTATCCAGGCGGCTACGTCCGCTGCACTCCAACGTCGTGGTTCTGCAACAACAGGACCATTCGAACAGTCGTATTTTAATATTCCTTGGAAAGTTTCCTTTTTAGTTTTGCTCTTCGTGAATATCGTATATTCCTTGAAAATTTTCCTCCAGTGGAATATGGAAATACCAATTTTGAAACGTTATTAATCTGGATATATGAGAGAACCGTGTTCAGACATCGTTCATTTTCGTCTTCGAATGTTAATTCTTCACGAATTTATTTACTCAACATTTCGTTGACATTCAAGTAAATTCTTCTCTTAATAGTTTAATATTTTCAATGTCTAATCAATTCTTTTCGTAATATCTGAATAAAATTACATTTCTACTAATGCAATCATTTGGATGTAAAGTTGTGAGGATAAAATAAGTTGAGATTGTTGAATTAAATAAAGCATGCACCTTTTCACAAATAAATTAGCGAGAGGTGTACATTACACTTCAAATCCTTCTCATATGTTCTCAAATAAACTAGTAAAGCGTCATATAAAACTACGGTTGAAACATGTAATACTAATGCAAGTTTTGCAGTGAAAAATTTATGACACTTCATATTGTTAAGGATCAAGTTAAAACCTCATTACTTTAATATAACTAAATGGTAAAACATAAGGCGAGACATTCAAAAGACCAACGGTCAGATTTCACCACGCCCAATTTCCGCTACCACTTTCGATTCCGTAACCGAACTTTCTATCAGCAGAGTCAAATCAATTTTTTCTCTCCTGAACATTCAGTGCAGACCGTTGCCTTCATGACACAACGATGATCACGTGAGCCGTAATACAAACAGCTTTAACTGTCGAGGAAAATTAGAAATGTAGCGGAAGCATAGCCGGTGACCTTGAGCGAAGCCTCGAAATTTCGTAACTACTCACGAGAGCACGATGTGACTTCGTAACTTATTCCGAGCATGACATCATGGCGCGGACTAATAGTCGAACCGGTCGCTCCTACGTTCACGAAGATAACGTCGAAGTATTGCCCGCGGCAAGGTAGCAAGAAGGCCTAAGTGTCTAATGGACACTCACGCACCTTCTTATTATATACCAGCGAGAACCGTACATTCACGATTTATAAATTTATTGTTACACGATCTGTTCAGTAGCCATTAACTTCCCTAACGGTATGCGAAACAATTTTTTTCTTCCGTATTCAAAGGGCATTGTAAGTTGCCACGTGGTTTTAATACAATTGTAAGGATCACTTTGTTATTAGGTAATTGTATTGTAGTTATATTTTGTTAAATTACGGGTTCCTAAGAGGAACATGATTGTTGCATATCAACAATGAAACTACCAATGTTAAAATGACCCGCTTGTTCTTGCAACTGTTAAAAAGATAACAAATGTTTCTCTGAGAAATTATTAACAGTAGATGTATCGTACCTAGTCGAATGACCGGTTTTAAAATTTGATTCAAAATTTTGTGTTTTCTTTCGACAATTTAACTTTATATTCTTACATTGTTTAATTGGTTTAGCAATTTTTGTTTTTTCTTTTGTTCAAGTTTCTATTAAAACAATTGATCGTCTAATTTGCCTATGTTTATTTTGTAATTGTTCAGCTGGTTAGAGTGGGAATAGATAAATATAAAGTGCTGGTACGTTTGGTGTTAAAGAAATTGATTTAGCACCATGCAAAATGAATTGTGAATCAATTATAGTCTTACAGAGTTGTTACACAGAAATTTCAAAAAATCAATTTAACTGCTCGGTAGTTTTGGTGTTAATGACAAAATAGTAGGATTTTTGTTTGTTTTAAGTTCGTTTGTAGTGTGTCCTACGAGTCGAGGTATCGAATATAATTAATATTTTTGTGTTAAGGAATATAAGAGGCGCAGAAATTGCTGCTACTACGTAAAATATTAGTCAGGTTAATTTCAGGGATAAATTTCCATAGGTTCACGTAACCTGTCAAACGTTAAAACGTTGGCACGTCGGAACGTCAAATAATTTGCATTATTTACTGTTTATTATCGTCTGATTCATAACTGTTACCTTATGTTTGCATTTCTTGTACCTTAATATTTGTGTTTTTTGTGTTTTAATATTTGTGTTTATTTCGTTAATTCTGTGTCTCAACATGTAACACAGTTCTTTAATTTTTTATTAATGATACACTCGTTTATTAAAATTGGATTGTTCCACAGTGGTTATTTGGAATTTATTATGTTATGATACATGTATAAAACAAGAATTCGGAATGGTAAGGATTATATATAATGAATTGAATTTAAAATACTGAGAAATAAATAATAAATATTTTGTTTCATATTTGTGAAATAAGCAAAGTAATTACGAAGTAAGGTCATATTTAATGTCTTCTTATGTGAGTAAGTGGAAGGCTCTATCCGTTTCTTCATATCTTGTGATATAAACGCGTAACTGGAACGTTGATTACCAAGAAAATCATGGCTAATTAGCGCAACAATGTTAAAGAAAAAGACATACCTTTTAAATGAAAAGGCAACACTTGGACAATTATCTTAAAAATGTCACAAATGTAACCGAGTAAGTACATTCATTGCACACTATAATAAATAATCGTCTTAACGATTTTACTTCATGACATAACAACGAAACGAATTCATGTAATTAGTTTTTCTTTATAATTGGTTTCAACGATCAAAGATCTCAAAAAGAAAGACGACTCAGATTGCTCTTTGAGGAAGCTATCAATTCTATGGTCTCGAATTGTTCTAATGGAATGGTGAAACACAAATTTCATCGTCGCATTAAGAAAAGTGTATTAACTGTATCCTTAATTTTAATTAAATAAATACATTTCAAGCGAATTTACGTAACTTGAGATATCAGGAGCAAAAACCGAAATTCATTTCCGGAGAATCCACTTTCTTTCACTTATTCATATCGGTATCCTCAGATAAAGTGTTTCCTTTGAGTGACCCCTCAATGTTGCACGAACACATTGTGTTCTACGTTTTATTGGTGTTAGTACGAGACAATGACTTACAAAATTGTTCACAAAATTATATTAATTTATATGGAGACATAATTACAATAGAGCAATAGAATCATAGTTTCAATGACTATTGCATGACGAGTGAATTCCTTCGGTTCCTGAGGGTTCAACACGTTCACTACTAATTTCACTTATTCACTGTACTTCATATAAATGACCAAACAATATTTACAAACTTCAATACACGTGAAATTGACGCGTTCAAACCTAGCATTACCATTAGAACTACCAAATAGATCAAACTCACTGATTCAAAAAGCTTCAACTAACTAATCACTTTAATTACAAAAGTACACAAACAAATTCATACATTTCACGACATACAAGAATAAGCGACTCATCAAATTTCAACAAACACACCGTCCCAATTTCGATAGAACAAATGATAAATAACTCCTTCTAATTGCTCGGCAGTTCCAGCGTCAACAGAGTATCGTCACAGGGACAAACGACAGTAGCGAACGGGTTAAGTAGAGAGAAAAAAAAGAAAACTGAAAGCATAAAGAGATCGCGGTGGCAGTTACTCACCCGGATGAATGCCCAGCGCCACGCATGTATTATCAAAGTCTTTCTGCAGCTGTTGGATGGCTAGGCTGAGAACAGGCTCGATTTGTTCCCTGGTCAGGTCTCCGACGCACTCGCCGGGCTCCATGTCCTCGACGAACCCGGTGCCGACGTTGCCAAGATCCACGGGTCTCAGGTTGTACTTTTTTTGGAAGCTGGTATCCCTCAGAACTTCCCTGAGCAACTGATGGTCGCTCTTCTGCCCGTCCTTGAACAGCTCCTCCTCCTTCTGCAGCGGATTTCTGGCCTCGTCCTCTGTTCTCTCAAGTTTCAGTACATTTGTTCTCGCTGCGTCCGCGAAATCCTTCCTAGCGCCCTTGAACAGTAGGTTCCTCAGCGGGGAGCTGTTCTCGAGCTCGACCGGGTCGGGCGAGGAGGACGCGGTCGACGAGGAGGACGTCAACGTGGACGCGGAGGAGTTGCTGGTCACTGTGTTGCTGGTGTTGCCGCTGCAGCTGGACCGCGGCTCCTCCTTGAACAGGATTTCCTTCAGCAACGGGTGCGCTTGGACTGCGGCATCTTCCTTTTTAGCGAAGAAGTCCGCGTCAAGGCTGTTGTAGATGTCCTCTTCCGTTCTGGGCGGTGTGCACGGCACTGTGCAGTCGGTCGAGTCCTCTCGGTAACCCAGACTCTCGGCCAAGAGTCTGCAATCAAAGACATCGGGGGTGGATCATTTGGATGGCTTAACGTTATTTCTTTGATGATGCCTAATCCCTTGACGTATTAATTACTTTCGCTACTGAGCTCGTTTAGCATTTTACAACCTGGGAGAAATGTAAAATTTCCTGATCTATTTTAGGTGGAAATTTCATTTGAAGATAATACATTGATAATAGCAAAATAGCTTTTTGCTTTGAGCTATTGGGGAATAAGCAACGTTGAGTTTTGTTGAATTAATCTAGAAATCTTCATCACGAGTCTCACTCGTCATTGTATGGCAAGGGATTAACCTTTAACCTCCAAGTGGCATCGGCTTTAACACGTTCCATGCTGGATCGATTTTTGAACACTTTCGATTCAATTATTTTGCTCTTGACCTGTGTGTTACGATTGTTGGAATAGTATCTTTTTAGAATAATATTGACTTCGCAATAGATTATTGAAAATTTGTTCGTTTTACAATGAGAATACCAAATGGCCTGAATGGAAAGTTCAGAATGGAAAGTTTGTTTGGGTTTTGGTTAAGTAAGAATGTATTTTGCGCGCAATAGAATCAAAACATGAAGTGTGTACTCGTCACACGCAGGACGAATGTACCTAGGGTATAATTTAATGAAGATATTTTTAAGAAAACATATTTAAAGCAAAACAAAGGAGAATAACGTGTTTATCTGAAGAAATAAAGAATTCATTGTTGAAAGAATTAGTATCGTTTCAAGCTTTAAGATGACGTTTATACGCGTCAAACGCAGTTAACACGTTGAACGCCGTACGATTTCATAAAGCAAAAATAGTTTTGCAAAAGTTATCGCACACTCGTCTAGCCGAATGTCATCACATTAGGCAGCATTATTTAGAATATAGAAATGTTTTCAAATGATCATCGTTTAACTGAGTGAACTATAGTAATTCGCTTTGGTTCGCGGTCACCGGTGACCCCCACGGCATTCAACGTGGTAAATGGTTGAATTGCAAAGTTCAATATCAGTGAAATGCGAACCAGTGGGCTGGGAAGCTGCCAGCATAAAATCGATATATTAACCCTTTGCACTCGACGATATTTTTCATTACAAACATTCATTGTTTTCTCACGAAATATTAGCAATATTATTCACAACTTACATAAAGAAACATCTTGCATACATTATGGGGCAGAATTGTTTTATTTCTATGTTTCATGTGTTAATACATTATTCAAAATTTTATGTTGAATTTTTTATTTTATAATTCTGCTGTGTTCAATTGAGGACCACACCCTATCGAGTGTAAAGGGTTAACTCTTTGCGGACGAATGTCGACATTTTGACGAGACGAAATGTTCATATTTGGAAGACTAAGTCGCAGACAAATCATTTAATTACTTCTCTTTTTTCTATTAACCCTCTGTAGGCCCTTGTAATTTTGAAGTCACACGTCAGTGTATTGGAATCTTGTTGATTTATTTCATTTTGCACTCAAAGTGGTGAGTAAAATTAAGTAATCAGTTAACTTAAACTTTTATACGCTCAGGCGTGAAAGTTTAACGTCATTGTAACTTGAAAGTTACAAAATATACTCGTTTGATGAAATTATTGAAACTATTGAGTACATTGTTGATTCGTATTCATATGTGGATATTTATTAATTTTGTCCTGCATACATTTTGTTATAATCACGAACAAAAATTCGGCCCATAGAGGGTTAATTAAGCAATTGGTATATAATTTATCTTTATCCCTTGAAGGTTCTGTACATTTCAAAGAATCTTCGTCCGCAAAGGGTTAATACAGGACGAGAGACAATGTTATTATGTCTGAGAGAGAGAGGTTGTTAGAGAAGCGCAAGAGTGAATGAGAATGCGTGTTGGCAGTGTGTTGTGACTAAGCGGTCATCGACACGATGGTTCACGATGGTTAGGCGAAAGACGTCTAACGGCCGAAAACGATCGTGCCCCGGTCGTTGGGTCGATGGCACCTAGTCGTGACCCGCGAGATGTATCAGTGTGCGTGCGTGTGTGAATGCGTGTTTGTCGTAATCCGTGAGTATGAATGATCCGCGGAACGAACGCGACTGTGGGAGAGAGTGATAGTCGAACGTCAGGGAGCGAGCGTGAAAGAGCGTATAGAGAGAGCATAGCGAAAGAGAGAAAGAGAGGTTTGTTGATTCGATTGATTTTCCAGAAAATCCGTTTTCCGGAAAAATTGATTTTACATTAATTGAATGAATAAAAATATTCATCTTTTCTAGAAGTTTTTCTTTGGAGCCGAAGGAGTCCTTAGATTACCGTTTAGCCAGGCAACAATTATCGGGTCTTCTTTAAAGACAATGTTTAAGGGCTAAGACTTGAAATCATTATTTTCATTATTAGGGTAATTCCGGGTGAGATGGCACAATTTCATTTAGTCAAATGTGCGTGTTTTCAATTGTCTTTAGTTGTATACTGAATTATGTATAGTGGCCTATTTATGTTTTATGTCTTCTTGTATGTATTTACTTTCATGCTGTGTATCTGTATATGGATACATCGAATTCTGTTGTTGCTTGAAATTATTCTCAGGATATAAAAGTTAAAGCAATTTAATTTAATTGATCAGCTGTATACAAAAACACACGAGAAATGTTTATATAGGGAACAGAATGCAAAAACAAAGATAATAATACGTAATCTCGAATGGAACAGTATTGTGAATTCATAACTCACAGAATAGGTTCTACTTGTAAAAACAGATCAACTGTTTTTTAATAAAATAATGTTACTATAAGCATTAAACATAACGGTGCATGCGTATAATACGACCTTCGAAAGAAATATGGAGAACCATTTTAGTGCCATTTTACGAGCTGGAGAATGTATTATAATTTCATCGAAGAAGTATAATTATTTATACATTAAAGCTTAATTGATGAAATTTCAAGTAAATCAAATTTCTCCACACGTAGTATTTATGTACACTTTATATTTGTCTCGGCCATTGCAATTGCGAATTCCAATTTAATTGAAAAGAGTGCGGTGGGGCCTTAATTAACCGGACTTTGATTATCCGCGGTTTTTGTTTTCCGGTTATTGGCAATTCAGTGTACCGAGATCACGTAAAAAATCAGATATTATGAATCTAAATTTGAATGACTTGTCACTTCCGACGACAAACGTATATTTCGTACGATACTTTTAAATTACAGACGTATTGCAAAGTTAATTAGAGTATACAGAAAACAAAAGGGTCAAAATTTCTTTTCTACATAGAAAAATTCCCTTTTTGTATATGAATGTAATTTTTCGTATGAACGAGCTCTAACGTCAACGAAGTCCTTTTATTATTCTGTTCCAAATATTAAGAAAAGGTATAGAGTGTTCTATGTAAAAACTAACAAACACCACTTTTCGTTTTTTAAATTAATCTCCAATATTAATAATAATTTTTACTATTATTATTATTAATATTATTTCTGTTACTACTTTCTTCTACTATTTCCATTGCAAGCACTTTACTTCAAAAATAATAAATAAATAACAGTAAAACACTTTTTTTTACCTTGACTCATAATTAATAACTTTGTCATTTATTAAATTCGTCTAGAAATCATCTAGAAAATCTAGAAAATCTATAACAAAACATTACTAACAAAACATTACATTGAACAAGAATAACGTAACAGTCCAGATAACATGTAAGTTGATTTTATGTACGACTTTCCATGACCTGAACGAGTCAAAGCAAACAATTAGAACAAAACTGCATTTCTGGGCACGATTTTAACCCTTTGAACTCTGTAGGCTCCAATATTGCACCAGTTGTAATATTGAATATTTTAATGAATCAAAGAAACTACCCTGAAATTATTAGATTTTCCACACATCCAAATTTTCTACTGAGAAGGAAAATAAAAGATCGAAGGAATTGTTATAGCATTTGTAGTTTTCACTAGGGATACTATAAAAATTAGTTGCAGTTGCTGATAGATTACAAAACCATCTGGAGTGCTAAGGGTTAAAGTTAAAAGTGTGCGGCTATTGCCTCGAAAACAAAACAATGCACCAAAAGAATTGAACTGTACAAAAAGAGAACAAGGTTTACCTGGATTCTTGTAGGATGGCCAGTAGGTCGAGGCTTTTTTCCCTCTTGACTGGTTGTTTCGCTGACGGTTCCGGGCTTGTCGGGTAGAACTGTGCGCTCTGAGGACTCCTGGGAACGTAGTAAGGACTCGTCGGGTACCCCGGTGAACCTTCGTACGAGTAATTAGGGGACAGTGGCAGTTCACCACCGGCACCTGGATACAGTGGACTCGAGTAAGTGGTGATAGGTGAGCCAGGACGCGGCGATTGTGCTTCTTGTTTGATTTGCGCTGGTTTCAACGTGTTCTGTGCACTCGTGGCGCCATAATCATCCGAAAGAAGGGACAGATCGAACTGGAATGTGCTGTAATCGAAAGACGGCGAATAGCCGGCTGCGGAGGGTACTGTCTGTGGCATCTGCAACAAAAATCGTTTCTGGTTATTTCAGTGTACTTTCGCCTGATTCATATTAGGCACCAGAAAAAATTCGCGCGGGTTCTTAACCCTTTGGCTGTGACAGAGTTTTTCGTTGGCACGCATCCCTAAGAAAGTGTATCGAAACCACGAAAACACTGAATTGAACTGAATTAAACGAATATAAAATGATCACATTTATATAATATATGACTGACGGAAGATGTAATTGTTGAATTAGAATTTATTTACGTCTGATCTAAGCTTTGCTGCAATTACTGTCAGTACTTTACGGGCGTTTACTAGCGATAACAGTATACCAAAACTAAATTTTTAAATTGCTTTCAGGGGCTAACAGTAGATAAGAGGTTCAGTCAACGTTGATATACAGATGTTTTTGTAAAATAATTTTATTATTCATAACTGAAGAGTCAACTACAATCTTGATAAAGACAATAAGTGTAATGTTAATTGAACATGTAGGTTTGTGAATATAAACATAAGTTACTGCCAATACTAATTTTATTCATTAAATTATTAGCGGAATACTGATTGAAATCGGACATCAATTCATGGCTAACAAGAAAACAAACTTTTTCTGGTATCTAATATCCGTTTATATAAATTTATTAACCCTTTGTGCCTTATGATAACGTGCCAGACTCGTGAAGATTTAAAACAGAATTTAAGAGGCATAAATACTACTCGACTCCCAGGAATTTTTATAGTGCACGGATATCACGGATTTACAGTGCACGCTACCGTGCTGAATTCCTAATTAGAATTCGATTTTATTCCCAACGATTCCGCTTAATTCTAATTTATGCAAAGTAGCGCAGAAAAATATATTTGCATAAAGACCTATACCGCGTCAGGCGCCGCATTCCCGCTTTCACACGTTGCAATTTGTCGTTCGTAATGTTTTACCATTAATTACATTGTAGCAGTAAGAATTTGATTGAAGCGTAAACATTTATTTTTTCCATGGTGTGCTTCCATTAAAAACTAAAATATGAACTTCAACACTTTCTTCTATGATTTTTCACGAAATTATGGTTGATAGAACTTTGTCGTTAATAATTTATGGAAAATAATTTGACGCTGTGTCTACAATTATTCTTAAAATTGAAGATTGATAATGAACAGCAAATATTTCATTTGTAGAATTTCCTGTTTATAGTCGTTGAATCACGTTCTATATAGTTTAAAATAATATTATCTAATATTTACATTAATATTACATTATCTAATATTAATGTTAACATTGTCTATGCATATTAATAATATATTATCTAATATTACTATTAACGTTATCTATTTATATTAATGCTGTATTACCTAATATTAATATTAATATTATCCATGTATATTAATATTATATTATCTAATATTACCATTAGCACAATCGTATATTTATTATATTTGATTTTCCCAATCAAGAAACTTTCACTGTACGAACATACGATATTACGTTTCATTAATGTTTTATACTTTACGTTCCCGATCGTCCGTACAATGTACTTCGAACTGTGCGAGCCGAATGATCTATTAGAAATGATACACTTTCCCCAAGAGAGGCTCGCTGGACCCAGGGGTCCATTTATCTTTCCGCGTGTTTATTGCCCGTCCTGCGCTTAAACTCGCGTCAGTTTGTTACGCTCCGTAAGTCACTTATGGCTCAGGGCGATCTCGGGCACCATCTTTGAAACTCGCGAAGCGTCCGAGGCGGCGATATCGTTCCGTCAAACGTCCAATTTGAGCGTAAACATCACGACCACTTCTATGCGAGTCTTCAACCATGCTCGGAGAACTTCCCAGCATTTTTATAATTTTTCGGACCATAAAGATAATTCATTATTATTATAGTGCATCGGTATTAGAACTACAGTGCCACGCAGAATGGCTGATCTTAGTTTGCTTGTCGTTATTTTAGAAGTATCAACCCTCTGCGGACGAAGATTCTTTGAAATATACAAAACTTTCAGCAGACGAAGCAAAATTATATACCAATTGCTTAAATAATAGAAAAGCCAGAAAGTACGTGCTGATCTCTTGCTGTTTGAATAATTAAATCGTTCGTTGGTGACTTTGTCTTCGAAACATCAACATTTCATTTCACCGAAATGTCGACATTCGTCCGCAAAGGGTTAAATATCTGAAGTGATTTTAGAAGTAGTTTTATTTGAATATTATTGTAAATATATAACGAAACTGGGAACATTTAGTATTACAATTTTTATAAGGATTATAGTCAATATTTATAATATGTTTATAATAACTATAATATCAATATTTATGTTTAATATTCATTGTATTAAACGCTTGGTAGTTCTAGCGTTGAAGTGTGTTTTTGCAATTGCAAGGATGAACAAGATTTTCAAAATACTGTCGATAAATTAGATGTTCGATTAACATCATAGTTATTGACTTTAGCAAGATTGTAGTTAATTGTTTAGTTATGAATAATAATTTTATATACTTCGTATGAGCAACTTTCAATTTTGGACGATATTAGAAGTTTGAATACATACTAACTGAAAACTAGATAGCTTTAAAAATCTATTTCCTCGCATAATTCATAAACACGAACTCGTTACCATTCGATTCCGATTAAGAGAAGCTTCTTCTCCCACAAAAAATTAAACACTCCCGAATATAAACAAATTAACTTATTAACCGTGGAATTTAATTTCAGAAATCTCTGATAACGCTCGTAATGAAATCAAATAATAAACAGTACACTCATCTAACAAAGATCAAACGCACCTATAATATATTCCAACGAAAAGCTAAAGCAAAACGAGGAACTACATATTTATCTGAAAAAATAAATCATTTATCATCGACAGAATAATTATCGTTTCGACTTTAAAATAACGTGTATGCTCGTCGAACGCAGTTACCTCCAACATTCCCACAAACTCCCGTGTACACATCGACTCAACACTTAAAAGCCGAAACCACGCAACTTCCCACATTATTCAAACAAACCCCGATCCAGATTCACCCACAGAACCCCCTTAGACTCCCCGTTCCCATAAATCCCGCGAATTCCATCGCGCTCCGCCACCGTTAAATCAAAGAAACGTTCGTGGACCGGGGCTCCGCCGGTCGACGGAGAGCGGTAATTAAAACTTCACCCCCGTGCATCGAGAGCGAGGGGTCAAAGGGTTCGATACGATCGGGGCCCGCGATACTCGCAGCGCGAAAATAGCGTGGCCGAGATGAGCCCGACCGATAATAAATATCGTCTGGAATTTCCTTGTAAATAATCGCTAACGACTTCGCTATTATCTCGTGTTCGCTACATTCGCGCGCGAGCGAGCGAGCGCACGGTCCGGCTGTTCTGAAAAAGAAGGGAAGCCCGAGCCAAAACGAAACACTTTCCCCGGACAGACGCGGAGGACGGTTCGGCCCGCGGCCTGCGCGAAGCTCTAGCGCGGTGCACCTTAAGGGCCCATTTATCTTTCCGTGTGTTTATTGCCCGTCGTGTGTTTGACCTCGCATCAGTTTGTTACGCTTTGTAAGCCCATTACAACGTTCCCAGTGCATCTTCCCTACGCTCAGGCGGGGTCGCGTCTGACATTTTGACGTAGTGCCCCGCAAAGGTCGACGCGAAATAAACGATTATACCCATACCACGGTGCCCGCGGATTTGCACGGTTACGCTGGATATGCCCACGTTAGAGACACAATACCACCGGGCCCGTCTCTCCCCCTTTTCCCGCTGCACCGTTGCACCGATCCAACGATGCAACGATGCGCGCGGCCGTCCTCTGCTCGACGCGGGCTCACGGACGGAGGAGGAGGAGGAGGAGGAGGAGGAGAGATAACCCTAGGAGAAGAGATACGGGGGAAGGAACACTGGCACAAAAGAGAACCGCTTATTCCTCGGCTTCTCCTAGCCTACCGCGAAAGGTCCCGGGGAGAAAGAGAATGTTTATCTATGCTGATGGGATCTATGGACGATGGAATTCCTCGACGGGCTTTCCTGAATAGCTTCGGATAGAGGGTGTTAGCCCCCTGGCTGTGCTCTTTCTACACCTGTGCTGTGTTGGTGTGCTATTTTAGGGTATGTGGAGCTCGACGGGTTTGCTGAATTACAGGAATTCGCGGAGATGTCTTGAAGGGGTTTGGATATGAATTTTCGGCGGAATTTCCTGCGTTTGCTTGGGGATTGAGGGTTGCTGACGGAGTAGCAGTTGAGATTGAAAGGGTTTTGGAAATTACTGCTTGGAACTGTTGCGTATCGGTTTGGATTGGGATGATTCGGGAGAATTGAAATAAGGTCATAATCGTTATTACGTATGTCTGTTCTATATGGGGTTCGTATCGATTTTATATCGGTTCTGTGGTGGTTATTTTTTGGTTCTATGTCGTTTCCATATCGCTTCTTTATCGATTTTGTATCGGTTTCATATTGGTTATATTTTTGTTCTATATAGATTTTATTTCAGTATTATATCTACTTTATATTAGGTCTATATCGATTCTATATTGATTCTGTAATAAAAGTCGGTGAGTTGTGATACTCCTACAATGATTCTGTAATTTCTCGCATTTCGTATCTACGTATTATGAATGATAAATTTCGAAGTATGATACTACGAGGTATGAATGATAAATTTTAATAATACAAATGACGCAATAACAAAAGACTATCTTATCGTGTTCTTATCATTGTACCGATAAAAGAACTGTTTAAAAAATTCGAATAACAATACATATAAAAATACTGTTGTGACATGTTCAGACTATTCTAAGTTGATCGATTCTGTCCATAAAATTGAACGACTGAAATCTATTTTATAAATTCTTAACATTTTCTACATAACGGTACATAAAAAAACATGATAAATTATAAAATTATAATAAAATCAAGATAATATTAAGATAAATTAAATTACAAAATTAATAGAATTAAGATAAACCTGAGATAAAGTATGTTATAAACAACAAGAGAATAAATTATTTCACATAAAGTGTATAGCGTAAAAAAGGTT